GCGCTTTCCCTTCCCCCTTTTATGTATTTATTTAGTCCTTCGTCTTCTTCTTTCAATCCCCCTCCTCCCCAGCTGTCTCATTACCCCGCGGGTTTTTTTCTCCTCTCTCCAGTGGTTATTTTCATCCCCCCCCTTCCTTACCTCCCCACCTTGCGTTAACTTTTTTTCACGATAACAGTTTGCAGCAATTGCCCACTTGCTGGCGGCCCTCCAGCACGTTCACGGAGCACGCTTCTCTGCCCGGCTATTTTTGCTCTTTTTCTCTCGCCGTGCCACCCCTCCCTGCTGTATTTTTTTCTGGCTGCTGTGCGCTAACCTGAACCGAAGAGGCTGGGACAGGCAATGCTACATCTGAGGCTTATGGGCCTACCTGGTGGGTGGTGCTGGTGGGTGATACCGCCGCTGCTTTTGCTTTTCCTTTTTATTCTCCTCATTTTCCTTTTATTTTGGTGATCCTTGGCATGCTGAAATCAAAGTTGTGCTTGGGGCTCGGAAATAAAGCTCAGCGACTGCACGACTGCACAGGGCAGGTTTCCGAGCTCAGCTCGGTGCAAAGGGGTGATCATTCTGGGTTTGTCTTGGGGTAACTTTGTTCCAAAATTCACCCGTTGGCTTTAAGATAAAGAATGGCCATCTCTGCTTGATATTGTAGCAGGAGGCACGTGGGCGGACTTGCAAGGTTTCCATATAAGAACATGGGAGAATTTATTTCACACGGGCAAAGAAATGTGCAGAGTATGTGTTATTTATGAAGGGCAAGCTGGGTTTTCCTCAGGCAGCTCCGAGAGTGGCAAAACTTTGTATTTAGAAATTGCAGAAGCTAACTTCTGCTGCTTAATAAGAGCTGTGTTTAAAGGCAAGCACCGATGAAAAAAAAAAAAAAAGTAGTGGGAGAGGTTCCAGATAAACACGAAGAAATACAACACCACACGTATTCCAGCACAGTTTGTGCCAAGGTGTAAGGATGAGAGTTTTTTGGTTAGTTCCTTTTTTTTTAACCGTATTGGGAAAGGCATTAAGAAAATGTGCCGAGAGGAGCTGGTTACGTTGATAGCGCTATTTTCGTAACTGCAATTTTTTTTTTATTGCTTGCATGCCACAATGGTTCAAGTTTTGTACTAGCAAAAAAAAGTGAGGCAGCCCCGATGGAAGGACATGTCATCGTCTGTGTAATTCAGAGCTCAGATGACAGTTGCTACCGGTTTAGATTTTATGGCTTAGGTTTGAGGGTAAATCAGCCCATTAAAACCCGCTGCAGTGGAATTTGGAGGGGAGCGGCTTTGGTGGAACCCCCGATGGCTGTTGACAGTGGGGTGTTTACCTCTGGGTCTGCGTTTGGGCGGGCTGGCTGCTTTTTGGCGTTGCCTACCTTCACACGGGTGTTCCGGAAAGATTGCCCGCAGGTTGTTGGGGTTTTTTGAAGCGAAATGCGCGAGCAGTTGAGGCAGCCAGCAGCGTGACCGTGCCCCTCGCCCAGAGTAAGCCGAGGCTGAAGCACGAGTGTGGCGGGAGGATGTCTTTGTTGCCTTGGTTAAACTGACTGGAAACTATTTTTGTCACTTTCAGAGATAGCATCGTCGTGTTTCCTCTTCAACTGTCTCTTCTCTGCGTTGGGTTTTTATTGGTTTGGTTTTTTTTTTTTCCTCTCTTTCTCTTCATTTGCCTACACCTCACCACCCCTGCCCCTGCCTCTTCTCACCTCTCTCCCGGTGTGGGCTGCCCTGAGGCTGCACCCACTGGAGGGCGACAGACACCTTCCCTCACCCTGGGGTGCCGGGTGGCACCCAGACCCCGGCCGCTGCCTCACCTCAGTCAGGATCTGCTGCTTGTACCCGGCGGGCTCAGGCGTCTTTTCTGTCATACTTCCTAAAAAGCAGATTGCGGATGGCACTGTGATACTTGGAGGCACCAAGAAGGTGTTTGTGTGCTTGGAGGCACTAGATCAAAATCCTGGGGTTTTTGCTTGTTTGTTTGTTTAAGGAGTTTGGTCTAGAATCTGATGGTAATTTGGAATGCTTCGAGTACTACCAGTTTTTATTTTATTTTAATTTGCTGTAACCGAGAGCAAAATTTGGCATACTGCTGTTTGTTGGTAGTCACTGATTTGTAGCTTTGGGGTGGGTTGCCTGGAGGTTTCTTAAATGTCAGAAGTTAATTGTTGAGAATGTGGCAAGAGGCTTCAGTCTGTGTGAAGTGCTGTATGAAAAGAGGTGCAACATTGACCTGGAAAAACAGGAAGACACTTTAGATTGGCTCTACTCTTGCTGCACAGTGCTTGGGAAACCAACCTCCTGTGCCTGAGCTCAGTTTTGTTTGTAAAGCCTCAGCTAGGATCTTGTCTTACAGCTAATCACTACAAATATTTCCATGAGTTTGCCTTAGATCAATACTCTGCCTAACCAAGATTGAGCTACATCTTAGTGCTTCTAGCCAAGTCCTGTGGGCTGGATATTTCCAAAGAGGCCCTCAGGCACAGGACATCCAGCAGGCTGCCATGTTTTCCAGGCAGTGATGCTCCCAGAATTTTCATTAGTGCACCTTGGCAGCAACCCCCTATTATTTTAATTTTACCCCTCCTAGGTCTTACAGGGCCCTAGAGTTTTGCCCCAATGGGAAGTGGGGCAACATTACCCAATGCCCCAATGGCAATATTGCCCCTTCCACCAGTAATGGGAGTCTCTGCAGTGGTGCCTTACCCAGGCTTTCAATTATACTGGCAAGTGACTCTGAAAAGAGTCATGCTGAACAGAGTTATGCTGATTTGTTTCTTTTAAATTTGACCAAATTCCAACACATAAAAATGGATGGGAAAGCCATGGTACTGAAAGCCTTTTGCAAGTAATGCTTATTTGATTGGTCATACTAATAAATTGTAGATCATTTAACAAGTGCAGCCTTGAATAGATTACCCAGTAGGATTAGGGCCTTCGACTTCTTCTCATCACTAACTTAATTTACATGACAAGAATGGATCAGGGATATGTTTTTTCAAGTAACCCTCAGAACAGTCCTCTTAAGTGTTCTGTACACAGAACCCAAGTTTATTCTAATGCCACTCTGGGAGACTGCTTGTGGGATTGGGTCCCTGGCATTTGGAAGGAAAGCGTGAGGATGAAAATGAAGTGATTTAATATTTGTTGAATTTCTTCCATACATGCATATTTACTTGAATCCTCAGCTGCTGCTGTGCCATGGATTTAATTGATTTGTGCTAGGTCAGTATCATCCCAGGGCATGTAAACTCTGGGCAATACCCTTTAAGTTGCTTACAGAGGAGCTAATATTGATAGAAGTTAACATGGTAGAAATTAAGTGAAACTTTCACTCTTCATTGTCCTTTTTTTTCCTCTAAAATCTGCCATTGGAAGGGCTATTGCATGGCCAGTTTGTGCCTCTGGAACTGTGGCTGGTGTCCTACAGCATCTGTATTCCTATCAATCTGTCCTTTTTTTTTTTCAGTGTGTCTAGATTTGCACAAGCAAAAAGCCCCTCAGTGCTGACCCTATGCCCTGCCCAAGAGCATCCACCAAACCCAGCAGCTATGTTGGTGGAAGGGGAGCGTGAATCAAATCCATGTCCTGCCAGCGAGCTTTAGGTGGGAGGCAGCAGGGTGGGTGCCACATGGCCACAGAAGGGTGGCTGTTAGGACACGTGGGCTGTTGGGAAGGCTCGTGCATTTCAGCAGTTACTGGGTTTCCTGTTGTGGTTCTCTGTCACCCAGAATGGTCACAGCCTTGAAGAACGTCTTTGCTGCCTGGCCTGGGTTTGAGTGCAGTCGGTGTGTGAGTGCTGCTGTGGAAAAATAATCACTGTGCCGAAACACAGCAGGAGTGTCCTGCCTTGGGGTGTTCTGGGTAGGCTGCCCATAGGTAGGAGAGCAACCCATGCAGTGAGCCAGGGGGTTATCAGTGAGCTGGAAGTTAAAAGTTCATAATTTTTTTTTCTGCAGATCACACAGCATTTGTATTTTATTTCACTGCTGCAGTGTAATTTCCTTGCTCTTGAGACAGATACGGTAAAATTTTCTGTGATGTTTTACATAGGATAAAACAAGCAAAAAACGGTCTCCTGTTTTGGTACTATGTTCAGTGCCTTGATGTTCTTGAAATATAAATTCATACTGATGAAATTCAGAAAACACTATACATGATAACATTTAAACGTCTGACTTACCTTGCTAGACCCATTTTTTTCCTTTAAAATGTTTTTTTTGCCTTTTCTTTTTCTCTTTTTTTTTTTTCCAAACAGGAAGAGAAAATTCATTCAAGAGAGACTCTTCTTCATGTAAGTGTTATTTATACTTGTTTATGAAATTGCAAAAGGGTTCTAAAGCTCATTAAAACATTCAAATACTGAACATTTACCATCTGTTTATAGTACAGAGCATGTAAAAATAGGCTGTAGTTATACAGTAATAATGCTCAGCAACTGTTACCTTGAATCTGTCTGTGCAGTTCTTCTGTGCATATCACTGCAGAATTTAGAAACCATTGCAAAGCACTTTGGAGGCATTTAAGCAGCATGCCCATAAATTTGGTGTGTAAATCCTGGAGGGATAATGTTAAAGTGATTTGCCTGAAGCAGAGGAGACCCATAAGTGAGAGCTCGTTTTAACACCCCAGAGTCCTTGATTCCTAAACCCTGTGACAAGAGTCGGCTTCTCTGCCTTGGATCCTGCAAAATCCAAGTTCTGCCTGTAGAGCCGTTTGTTTGCGTGCATGTGTCCTCGTGTGTGCATGTGTACTTGTGGGGAGGTGAGAGGGTGTATGTGAGTACTTGGCCTCAAATAGCCTGCAGGTATTTCAGGCCTTTTTCTACAAGCTATGGTGATACCCATTAAAATAAGTATTAGATGCCACCAGCAATTGGTGAATACTGTTGCAAATGTTTTGTGAAAGCATTTGGCTCCAGACTGAGTGCTTGGTCTGGGTGACCCTGGTACAGTATTCTTCATGGAACCAAGAAAGCTGCATGTCATAAAAACACAAGTTGTTTTGTTTTTTTTTTTCCACACCACCCAAGTGACCTGGTTTGCTTGCAGATCTCAGATTTGAAAACTCGAGTAGTATAGAAAGCTCTGCTCTGGTATCTCTTCTTAGTAGATAAATCTGAATAAATGTTTTAAGGGGCCGCAGAGATGAAGACTCTTACTGCCTCAGTGCAAGATCAGCTTAGCAAGGAAAATGACTGCATTGTTCCCAATGCAGGGCCTGCTTTGCATAACTTCCAAGCATGTTCTGTGTCCAGTGGCATGGCAAGCCCACGAGCACTCACCTCAGGCTGATCTCCCATAGGTCAACTTTGGTTTTTTTTTTTTTAAATAACATATATCTCAGAATTGCAGCACTCCATTATGCTTGCGTAGCAACTGCTGGTTAATATGTAGCAAAACGCCGTGTGGTAACAAATGTTTTTTTGCTATTGTTGAGCTGGAATGTTAGTTCAGCTTCTAGATAAAAGTGGCTTGTGCAAGGCACCCTGGTAGACCATGATTTCTGTGGCTTGTATTGTAGTTCTTGTAGGCAACCGTGTTCTGCTCTTCCTCTCCCCTGTGCTTCCCTTCATCTTCTACGTGAGTGGGGGGTAGGCTTAGGTAAAGGCAAGGAGCTGGCAGCCCTTCATATCCAAAAAAGCACCAGTGAGGGGTTTAAGCTTGTTTCTAGTCAAGCATCTGTTGAAAACACTCCTTATTCTGTCTGTGTTTCTAGCAAGAACGTTGTGAGACACTTTATTTAATAGCTTTAAACCACAAGTGTTCTTTGGCTGGTTTTATGGATATCATAAGACAATCTTTAAAAAAAAAAAAAAAGCCAGTAGTAGGTGAAGGATATCCAAGAAAGACTTAAAGAACTGTCCTTCCCTGCAGCTGGAATACTAGCTTATGCTAGCTTAGGAGTATCTTGTATCTTTGAGAAGGTACATCCTCAGTTTTTAAAATGTAACAGGGAAGCAGAAATTCCAGAGGGCTTTTGATGATGACATTTTCAACATTTGTAGCTCATTATTATTTCATTCGAGCGTAGGAAATTCAAATCTCTTGAAAAGCCTGTGAAGCACATGATTCCCAGGGATTTTAAATGGGAAATATTGCAACAAAGCCATCTTTAAGGGAAGAAGCTCCCAAATAGAGAAGAACCTAAACAGATTAACCCTACAGTAGTGACTGTATGGTGTCTAGGAACTGCATAATAACCATGTAGTGCAGATCTTAAGAATTTTGTGTGGAGATTTCAGTATCACAGACACATAACTGGGAGCTTCCTAGGTCTAATAGATACCCTGGAATGAATGAGTAATGAAAAGTTTGTGGTGCAGAGGCCATTTGCAGTACAGCCTTCCATCACCTGCTGTGGCTTTTCAACAGCTAACAGCAAGCTTTGAGCATCAGAGCCTCTCTCTTCTGGTTCTGTGCATGAAAAAGACCTTGACTCAATAACTATTTGTGCCTGTCTGTGCATTGGCTCCCCTTGGCTTCTTCAACTGTGTGAGTTTCCAAAAGAGAGTTAAAATCCGGGGGTGGGAATGATGAAGCTTTAGTGAAGTAGCAGGATCGTGAAGCATCCAGGACAGGGACCTCTCACAGGCCCTGTTCAGGAGGGGTTGACACCCGTAGCAGTGAATGCTCAGTGGGGATTAACCCCTCAGGACTGTGACGTGGACCAGTCACCATGACAGGAGGTGACCATTTTGAGGAAGGACTCTGTGACAGTAACCAGCCATTTGTAGTTGTAATGATAAGAAAGGTACCGTCTTATTGTAGTCACTTTGCGACAAATACTACCACAATTCATTACTTTCCATCAGTGCCTCATCCTATGGAGGAATCACCACTGCCCATCTACATTGAGGAGGGGACAGAAGTCCCGATTGGTGAGTGCAGTTGGGACGGGATCTGTTTAAGGGGGGGTGTAACGGTACTTGGGGTTTATATTCCTCACGTTTGTGTGTGCCCATTTGTCATTGAAAACTGTAAGGTTTGTTGCAAATGTTATGGGATTTTTATTTTATTTTATTAATGCCAGTGTATTTTAGAGCTCCTGAGGATTGTTAAATACTGCTAGTATTGGTTTTCAGCTAATCGTAAATCAAAGTACATCATTTATTCAGTGACACTGAAAGCTTCCGTGCAGGATCTCTTGACACGAGGCTGGGGAAGACCATGAGCATCAGAGAAGGTAGTTTCCACTTCAGCCTTTGACCTCAGTGTTGAGATGCTCAGAATAATCTGCCAGCTGGGTCAGCAGTTTTTGTCTTGCTGACACTGTCCTGCCTGGCACCCAGCAGATTCGTGGTGCACACACCACTGAATAACCAGAAGAGAGTTAGAAGGTCTGCTGTTACCTGCACTGCACATCAGGGTGCTGCAGCCCCATTTCAGAGCTCTAGTGGGGTTGTATTGTCTCCACATGGATATACAGGGTTGGGAGTGGTGGTGGTAAGTGTAGGCACAGGCTTTCACATAACCCATAAAGGAAGAGATTAAAGTATCAGTAAGTTGGGCTGTGATGATCTCTTTGGACTGCAGAAAGCTGTAACTGCAGCACTTCCCAGAGCCCCTTCCGTATGCAGCCTGTTCTCGGTTGCGTACTCCATGTGGTGCTTTGGCTACCACCTTGGGAGTCTGCCCTGTTTGAGTAGATGTGTCTCTTCAAATGTTTTTTTCTTATTATACATCCTGAATTTTTCTGTTCCTAAATTCAATCAATTTCTTCTTGTCCTACTATCTTTTGAGCTAGATTAATTACCTTCCTCTACACACAGTACCTTGAAGGTATTTGTAGCTGGATCTCAGCCCAGGAGTCTTCGCATTTATAGACCATATTAATTTAGCTCCCTTACTCTCTCCTTAGATCATTTTTATTGTCCTTATTTGTATTTCCTTTAATTTTTCTACCTCCTTTCTAATCTGTGGAGACTTGAACAGCTCATACTATAGCCACTGTGATTGTTTTGACATAGCATTATGCTTTATATTTCCATATCATCCCTTCATGTGTACACATCCAGAAATAGCTTAGCTTTTGACCCTTCTGCATCACTCAGTAGCATGACACAGAGGAATTCTATTACCTGCAGTCACCATTAAGTCTTTTGTGCATTCATGGCTTTGCGGGTAGCTGCTCCTCTGGCAGTGTCTCTGCTCTCCTGAGACATAGGGCTTTATACTTCCCAGAACTAAATCCCCATCCCATTGCATCCCACTTACTTACTTTATCCAGGAATCATTTGTGACAGTATGCCTATGTATTTATATTAATTCCTTGGGATTTTAAAAGTTACATAGAGGTTGCTACTGTTTTATCACATACAGACCAAAGAAGTACTTAAAATTTTATATTTTGATACCTATTACAACTGTCTTCCCCATGTTACTCCAGACTCCTTTCCCATCTCCATCATACTTGTTTGCACACCTTCCTAACTTTTCCTTCCTCTAGTTATGAAAGTTCATAATGCAAAAACTGACATGTTTAGCCTTCTCCTTGTCTTCATTTTGTACCTTTTCTTGTTGTACAGTTAGTATGTTGCTGCTGTATCCCTTCTATGCATAGCACAATGTGGTCTTTCCCAGATCATCTTTTCCTCACCTTTTCTGTCAGCTGAACATCTACTCGACATCATTCCTCTCTTGTAGAACCACTAAGGCTAAGTTCTATCATGACCCTTGGTACTTCATCTTTCCAACTGCTCTGAGGAAACCTGTACTGCCAGGATGGTGGCACCCACACCAAAAAAAATACTGTAAGGCTGATGAACCACAAAAGAGACCAAACAACGATAACAAGAAACCCTATGAGTGAAAAGCTTTTTAGAGGATATTTGTTCGGTGCTGTCATGAGGCAGATTTGTTGGATCAGGCTCTGAAATGAAGCAGTAGCTGTGAAATGGCTGAAGAGGGCTGGGTTGGGCATCATGTTTGCTTATTTTAAATAAGCATCTGGACTGTCAATAGAGCAAGCCGTGGTGTAGGGGGAATGAGTGGAAAAAGTAAATGATGTAGAGATGAGAGCAAACCACAAGATCTGAGTTTGGTATTTGAATGCCTGATGTGGGTCATGGCTTTTATAATAGTTGGGTGCAGTATAAATCATCAAGCTAGGAAGCCAGCTGCGAAATTCTGATCTAGGTCTGGGTCTCAGTTTGGGTCATACTTTCTGTTGAGTTTACCGTCATGATCCAGATCCAGGGTGTCCATTTGCACTTGTATAGACCGGAACAGGAATAAAAAGAATCCTGTCTGAGTTTAGGTTGGAGAAGAATAACACAGTGCAGTTGTTAAAACAATTCAGCACAACCATCATTTACTTTTAAAACATTGTTTGGAGAACTTAGATTATTTCCTCATCTAAACCACATTTTGGATAGTATATGGAGCTCATACTGTTCTGGCCCAGGCATGACTGGTGGTGGTAGTTTGCTCTGTAGCTTCTGTATTTATTTTAAAAAATAGAGAAATCAGTAGGTTCTTTCAGAGTCTAGATTCAACAACGCTAATTATTTCAAGCAATTTAAAAAGGAATATAAATCTCACTTGTTTATTACAGCTCCTTCATGAAAACAGCAGCTACAAATAATACCCTGTAATGAAAATCTAGCTAACGCTGTCATGAATTAACCAACAAGAGAATGAGTGTATGGGGTCTGGAAAAAAGCAGCATTTACGTCTCCAGAGTGAGGCTCTTTGTGTTGAGGAGAAGGTAGTTATTACCTAGATGCTTATTTTATCTCCTTGGGTGAAATGGAGAATGACATTTCTGCATAGATGAATATAGTTTTTGGCTGGAAAAAGGTCTGAGCTCTACTTCATTTTTTATGTACTTTTGCACTTTCTCAAGTACATTCCCAAAGGAATTTAGGTAAGTAAGATGCAACAAACGTGTTAATAAATCAAAGGTATTTCTGAGGAGATGGAGAATATTTCATGAGCTCTAGCAAATAATCTATATAATAACAATAAAAGACTGCAGGGCAGACCCTGGCAGTCTTGATTAAGGCACAGTTTCAACTGTCTTCCACACAATTAAACAGTTCAGGAGATTCAAGGCGAGGAAGTAGGGAGAGCAGGTTGTTACTCCCCATTACCATTCATGGTAAGGTCATGGCCATGTTCCCTGAACACCATTTGGAACCTGTTGTGTAGGCACTGAAGAAAACACCTGAAGCCACACAGTCCAACTTTACATTTTTATAAAGCAAAAACCCAGGAACAAAATATTTGTGTTGGCAATCATTGTGTTTGGCCCATCTAGAACACCACTGAGGGAGTAATTGCCTCCTTGGGGATCAGCCTACAGCAACAGAGCTGTAGGCTGAGATGTTTGTTTATGTTTTTCTTTTCATGTGACATTTTGAGACATTAGTGTTGTTTAATACCTGTGAACTTAGCTGCAAAGACATACAAATTCAGGATCTAATTTTCAACTGATTTACTCCAGCTTAGCTTTGTTGATGCCAGCAGCATTGCTATTGCTTTATCATTGTGTAAACAGTATCAAAGTCAGACCCCCTTTACCAGGAATCAGTCCTGCTGACCTTGAAACCCATGGCACTTCTGCTGTAGCTCTGAATCCCTATGTGAGCAAAATGCCAGTGGTCCACTTCGCTCTTACTGATCTGATCCACTTTTGCTGCTGAATAGCACTGGCTTCGGTGGAGTGGTGTCAAACGTATACAAGTGTTAGTTAGACCTTGCCTATGTAGGATTTGTTCCCCTGTTAAATCATCTCAGTATGATGGGAAGCTCCAGTAATACTCTGAAGCCATACCCTCTTGGTGGTACTCACAAGTTACGGTATCTCAAGTTACCCAGGCTCATTGGAGTAACCTTGATTTCAGGAGAAGCCTTTTCTTGTAATCACATATGATTTCTTCTGCTGCTGCTTGATCCCTGCTTTTAAGCATCTCTGATGTTTTATTAATGATAAAAATGGGATTTCCAGCCTACTCCTGTTCTTGGACAGACTCATTGAAAAACAGATGCTTTTTTTTTTTCTCTTAAAATAAGAGATTTAAAGCTCTTTTAAGCAAGGTAAATGTAGGAAATTCACCTTTCCCAGGCAGGGAGAGTTTTTAGCACTTTTATAGAGCCGGTTCTGTGTCTCTGTAGGAGCTTACCTTCCCTCATGAAAGAAGAGAACCATTTCTGCCATATGTGCTTCAGGGCTTGCTCTTTCATGGGGTGCTGGCACACAGAAAGTGTGATTTTTGCCAGCCTCGGAGTGCTTTCTGCAAGGTATTGAGTTCCCTCCTATCCTTTGCAGCCAAAAAGGAGTTGATTGCTCTTGGCATCAGGCAAATCTGGACCCAGAAGACCACAGGTAGTGTTTACCAATTATTTATGTGCTTTCGCATGCCAGAGGCTGTCTGAAGTGATTTCTCTAGCATACAAGGGATTTCAGGTGTTAATGACACTTGCTTGCCACTAAAAACATTATTTTTTAAAAAAAAAAAAATAATACAGTAATAAGCATGACATTTATAGCATTGCCATGGGGAAATTAAAAAAAAAAATAAAAATTAACTACAGTCCAAGTAACTACTAGTTCTTTAGAGCTATTGCAAATGTATGAGTTCTATACCCTGAATGAGCACCATATGCTAATTTATTGTGGCACAGTGAGTCACAGGACACACTGTGGAAAGCAATAATTGCTTGGCATGCATTGTGACATTCAGTAGGGGTTTTTGTTTGGTTTTCTTAAAGGGATATGTTTTTACTCTGACAATAAAATGAATATCATCTGATACGCTGCCACCAGGGACTGTTGCTTATTTTGTAATTAACCTGTAGCTTACCCATTTGTCACTCACCACACACCCCCTCTATATCTTTTCCTTTCCAACTGCTTGTATTGTATGCATGTAGTATC